TTGATGACCGATAAATTCGTGTGGTTAGGGGTAGGGTTAGGGTTAGCGGTAGGATAAGGGGTAGGGTTAGGGGTAACGTTACGGTTAGGGTTAGGGGTAGAGTTAGGGTTAGGGGTAGGGTTAGGGTTAGGTTGAGCGTTAGATGTGACAATTTTGACACAGGAGTTCGCTATAATCGCGCACAGTCACATACACACCCAAACATTCGACGGACTGTGGATGCTACGGACAATTCGCCACTGATTGGGCACCAGCCGCACGTTATTGCCGTCATATTTGGCAGACTGTCAGTGGCGCCGCTCCAACAAGCATCAGATTGTCGGCCAGTATTTGGAACTCCTACGTCAAAATTTTCACATCTAACCCTAACCCTAACCCCTAACCCCTAACCCTACCCCTAACTCTACCCCTAACCCTAACCCGTAACCCTACCCCTAACCCTAAACCAAACCGAAACCTACGTAACCCTACACGCAACAGTATGATGACTACGCAACCCTTCACGCAACCGTATGATGACTACGCAACCCTTCACGCAACCGTATGATGACTACGCAACCCTACACGCAACCGTAGGATGACAACGCAACCCTACACGCAAGCGTACGCAACCCTGCACGCAACCGTATGATGATAGGTAAGTATGTCATTTGTTTCGTGACTTTTCCGCTCACTGTTTCCAGTGCGGCCAAGGGAGAGAACTCCCACTAAACCAAACTACGCCGTCCAGCCCGCGTCCGGTACTGCAAGGAGAGCCGAACATTCTTCATTTTGTAAAATGCTTCTTTTGCTTGAACTGTTTGTTCTACATTTAACTTCCTTAATACATCTTCTATCTGATGTTTTCAGAATAACCAAGTACTTAAACATATCAACTTGCTTGAGGTTTGTCCTGTTACTTTGATGTTGCAATTTAGAGAGTTCATTTTCTTTATAATTTCTATTGCTTCATTTTTCTGCTGTTCAAACTAAGACCCTTGTTTTGACTTTCTGTTACAATTATATCCATCATTCTTGCAATTGTATTTCATTTTCAGTGGTCCAAACTAAATTGTCAGCTTATCGAAGGTTGTTAAAAATATGCCAACCAGCAATATTCCTAGCACACCATGCATGGATCTAATAATTATTTCACTGTACACATTGAATGAATCGGGTGATAGTACTCATCCCTGTCTGATGCCTTGATCAATGTTTTGAAAATTTCCATCTTGGTTGTCATTTCTTGTGGCTGCTTTTTGTTGCCAGTATATGTTGTTTTGTTAAATTATTCTACATCTTTACCATCAATGTTTAAGGCTTCCAAAACTAATAATTTCTCCATGTTTCACTTTATCAAATTAGTTAGTTAGTTAGTTAGTTAGTTAGTTGGGTTATCCTCATTGCACTCCGGACATGTCCATAGGTGCTCAGATCCTCCCCTCAGTATGAACCCAAACGTCCGATGGCTAATAGTACCAGTTCTATGTTGATTAACAAGTCTTCTGCCGTGTCTGGTGTGCGTCTCGTTTTTTACTGTGCCGATCTTAATTCCCAAGTCTGCCATTCTGGCTAGTGATGTGGATTCACTGCCACCAAAGTCCTCTATCCTTCCCATTTCTCTGAGAGCATTGATAATATCAGCATGATCCATAGGCTGACCGTCGGTAGTGATAGCGGATCCAGCCAACCTGTCAGCTCTTTCATTTCCATCGACGCCTGCGTGTCCCGGAACAAAAATAAAGGTGACTCCATGCACAGTGGACTTCTGTAATGATTCAAGCCATTGTCTTCGCACTGAACCTGCCTGAACCCTCCGGATCATACTCATTGAATCACTGAGTATACACACCCGGGTGTATTTTTGTGTTTCAAGCCAGGCAAGCGCTTGCGTCACTGCCATCACCTCCATCGTCATGCTGCTGGTTGTCATGGAGAAGGCGCTTCTTTGACTGTTCTGCCCGCTGAGCGTGCTGTAAATGCCCATGCGCTTCTTCTTTGGCGTATAACGGATCCGTCTGTATAGATTATTGCATCTGCTTCGTCTGAATTTTCACCGATGAGAGCGTTGACCTCTGCATTAACAGCAACAGGATTCTCTTCCCTACATCGCCTGTTGAGTGTGACAATACAGGAAAATGTACAAATTAACGCCTGAGGCACAGGTATCCATTCTGCACCAGGTATGATGTCGGTTAGGCTGCATATTTGCCTAATATCTTCTGCCCGACCTAGCCACGATTTCCCCCTCTTCAGTCTGTCGCCCTTTTCACTATAAAGCGCTTGATGCAGTGGGTGTTTCTTATCAGCACATATTTTGAGATATGCCCGAGCCCTCCACATCCTGATCCTTTATCAAATGCTTTAGTAAAACAGAGTTCACTCATTCTTTCTGAGAGAATTCCCAAGATAAATATGACACCTTTACCTTTAAGAAAACCATACTGCTGAACCTAAATATTTAGACAATCAGCACTTTGTGGGTGATGTGGTCAACATCACTGCTTCTACTTCCCAGGACTTTTACCTGCTACCCATTATAAGCTGTGCGTAATTTTTTTTAGTCTGATGCGAAGCCGATTTGAACACATGACCTTTGGTTACCCCCAGTGAGGAAAAGAGCCTGAACCAGCTCATGCCATATCACCCTATTCTTTGCTGCTGCATGCAGTTCACCTCATAGCCTCCCCATATTGTTAATCTCACTCTCTAGCTTCCTTCTCCGTGCATTTTGTGGTCTGCTTTTCTTTCTTTGCCCCTATGGGTTTCAGGTAAAGACTGCATACAATCTGACAGTTACTGCCTATTTTTACCTCTTTTGCAGAGTAGGCAAGACGTCTTTGAGCCTGAGGATTTAAGGCTGCTAGGCTAGTGCTGTTGCTATGGACTATGCAGGCTGGGATTTTTTTTGCCCCGATAGAAAAAAACCATGATCTCTCGTACTGAAAGACACCCTTGCCTACACCGCAGAAGTGGTAAATACTGGCAGTAATGGCAGTTTGAATCTGGAAAATTACTTTGTATAGGAAACTACTTTCCAAACTAGGCAACCTGTGTGAGATAACAGTGCAATAGATACCCACTGTGGAGTTCCCAGAAATGAAAGAGCTGATAAACTAGCTAAGGGAGATGATTTCAATTGTCTAACATCTATGTTAGTGTCCCGTCTCATTTCCCCTGCAGCTTTCCTGTTGTCAGTATGTACTCCGGTTTTCTCCTAATATTATGCCTAACTAGTTTGTGGATAGGCCACTTCTGATGCAGATAATCAGTCCTCTTTGTGAGTTAATTTCTTTCAAGACATCCTGATCACACTTTTTATCTCTCCATCATGTTCTTGTTTTTTTTTCTTTCTTTGAAACCATAGCTCTGCAGCTTCTGCATATTTTTTCAATTATATACTGACTGACATTAATTTACTTTTGAACTGTAGGATTTGTTCTGAATAGCTCTGAAGAACTCTCCTTTTCAGCTCAATAGACAAAAATATATTGAACTGAATATTCTTCATACATTTTTAGAAATTCATGACTGCTTCCATTGCCTGGGCTATTCTACATGTAACTTTTTAAAAAAAACATGTCTCCATTAACCCTTTTAGCACGGGAAGTTTTTCAGAGGTCTAGCCAAAAACACGGAGCATTTTTTCAGTGAATTTGGTTATTACTTTATTTAGTTTTTTTGACAGATTTCTGTTATTCTGACCCCCATGAAATAATATATCTATTTGAAGGATATAGATTAAAGTTCATGATTTTCACAATATCGTTAAAATTAGTTAATGTATATGCAAATTATCTCATTTGCATATCTAAAAATAGAAAATATGAATTTGAATTTTCAACTTCAATGCTTGAAACATAAAACTAAAAACAAAAAAATTTTTTTTGAAATCTTTTTATTGATCTTTGGCCTTTTTGCAAATGTTGTAAGCAATTCAATAGTCAAAAACAGGTATATATATATATGAAACAGCAATAATATCTTTAGGTGACATGTGTTTTTCACCATCAGTCAGCACAAGAAATGGATGTGCCGGAGTGTCAACACCTTTGGGTGGATATACCCTGAGCCATGGTTGGGCTGTGGTCTGAACACAACAGCGTCCCCATCTGATTCCCACTATTACTACTAACACTAAATCCTGCATCAGTATCAACAGAATTAGTGTCATCACTTGATTCAAATGTTTTATCAACATCAAGTTTAGGGGCAGAAACAAACGAGTCACGAGTCAGACATACTTTTAGCGGTTCAGGTCACTATCTAAAAAATTCAACAACAATTTTCACTTCGATACCAAACACTCGAAAGTCGCCATGTGTAAAGCTGATACAGCAGTTAATATAAATGAATCACTTTCAGTGTTTCAAAATAGGAGATTTCTTAGCGGTTCGAGGCGAAACACGATCGGGCCGATGATCGGCCGTTCCGTGTTTTTGGCCAGACATCCGCCGGCCGATAATCGGCCCGTCCATGCTAAGAGGGTTAAGCTATCATCAAGGTACCCATTACTTGAAAATATAGAGTTGCTTCATGCTACTCATACTTACTTGGATGTTATACAGAAACAGGCAGGGAACCCTTGAGGTCATAGACACTGTATATATAATACACAGCTTGACATGTATTGATTGGTATATCTCCTACTTCTTTCTGTGAGTGCCAGTCGATGCATTTATATTTGTTCATTATATGTGTTATTTTGCCGTTGTGCTCTGTATATGATATACATGTTTGTTTGTTTGTGTGTGTGCGTGCGTGCATGAGAGAGAGGATAGCCGAAAGGGACATTCTGTAAGGAACTTGCAACATGATATAATGAAAGAGCCATATTGGGTAAATGATGCTATGAAATTAGGAAATCTGGTCAAATGTTGCTACATTTAATTGTTGATTATGTGACTGTTAAGGCCATGTAGTCTTCAGAGGTATAACATTATAATGTGCTTTTCTTCTTTTGTGCAGAAAGTATACAGAGTTTCAGTGTGTACGGAGGAGCTAATTTAAAGTGTGAAGAAATGTCAGAAATCAAGGTGTGTTTTCAAAAAGTATGGTCCTAATGTCTGATTAACCGCATTATCTATAATGTATGAAAAAGATTATGTGAAAATGATCACACCGAAGACTAAAATCATAACAATTTTTAGATTACAAAAATACTTACATGTAACATGCATAACATAACACACATATATAGAACATTGATGTAAAACAATTAAGATGTGTTCAATTATCTTAGCAGCAATTTTCACTGAACATGAAAGGCTGCTACATGTGTGAATCAGTGTATGAATTGATTACACTCAAGACATTCTCACGTGTCTCTGTCTTCATCTTTAGCAGCTAATGAAGCATATCCACATTAATAGTATCAATGTCTGCCTGTTTGAAAGTCTGCCAATCTTTTTACCTATGCATTGAGTATTGTCCAGATCTCTGCCCACTTCTTGCTGTGTGAGTTACACAAGATAGAAGTATTCTGTCTTGTTCAGCCACTCAGTACCAGATCACAGAGAGCTTTCACCACATCCATCCAGTTTATCATAAAGTACATTGCTGCCTTTATGATTAACATCAGCTAGTCTGTCAGCAAGCTTATTTTTCCCACATGACTGATAAAAAGAAAACAAAATATCACACAAAGAAAACGTTTACCGCTGATATAATGACTGAAGTACCTGCAGATCAGTGAAGTGGACAGCTGATAAATAGTATATTTCTACCAACACTCTGCTACTAGTGCCAAGTATGGACAGTCTAAATCATGAGGGAAGAAGCTTAATTACAAATGACAGGAAGTACATAAGACAAGCTGACAGCTTTACTGAAAAAGGTAGAAGAAGAAATGATAATCTCATAAAAAATGTATGTCTCCCATAAATAGAACCTGTAGTCTCTATTTAAACTTGAGTATGATTCCACATTGTTAATAAACTCTATGATATAATTTTTTTTTAAACATGGTAGTAAACATTGTTGGCATTCCCGTTTGGAAACATTTCTTAAGTTAATAAATATATTGTTTGATTACAATATTGTATATATTGCCTACATTCTGATCAAAATTGATGGTCTTGATAAATTGTCTTTGAGGTAGGTTGGCATAATTGGAGGATCTGGTCTCAATGATCCCATATTTCTGGAGAATAAGCACGAAAAACTTGTGGTTACTCCATTTGGAAAGGTAATTTGCTTCTAACACTGTTGACATTATTAAATCAGTCTTCAGATCCTGCATGGTGTCTCACTGTTACAGTGGTTAGTTTAGTTGCTTATTGTGTCATTAGTTCTTACCCCGTGATTTCCTGGGCCATATTGGGGGGGGGGGGTGGAGGGGAGAAGAATAGACACCCCCCCCCCCCCCCCCAAAAAAAAGTATCCAAAAGAATTGACTAATTGGGGATTTCCTTGAAGTCAGAAAGTATCTGCCTGAGAGGCAAGGAACCAACTGTCTACATACAGATGTGCTAGATCTGTAGATTAGATGTTCAAAGTTCTGCAACAAGATAAAAGTCTAGACCAGTCTTTCCCCCAACATGGTAGCCCTTGCCCTACGTGGGTGCCATTTGATTGTTGGGGCGGGGTGGGGGTGGGTTATTTAATTATTAATTGGGACAGTTTGAAAATTGACTCGTCCAGCATTTAAGTTTGGGGGCATAAGAATTTTGAAAGGTTTTGGTAGGGTGTGGCACCACAAAATGTTGCAAAACACTGGTCTAGACGAACAACCAAGACTTTCTGCCTAAGGTTATAGCCAGTGGACTTGAGGAAGAAGAAGAGTCAGTAGTTCTGATTCAGTCTTCAGAGGTGGCCAGATTTTTTTTTTTACCAGTATGTCTGTGGGTTTGACACAGCCTCTCATTCTTCTGCATTCACCTTTAAAAGGTGCTGGGCACATTTTGTCGTCGTTTACATCAAGGTTGCAGTATCAGCATCTTTCATATCCACATATCCAATTTCAGTGGATCTGTTTAATTTTTTTTTTATTTTCCCCCACTTAAATGGGGCCACGTGGAACTCTGTGCTTGCTGCTTTTATAAGGTCCAGCCTTTTAAAAAAATTTGTAAGAATTTTCAGGGAATTTTTTGGAAAAGAAAGGTAATGACAAAGGGAACTGACCACACTACCTCATATGCCATAGCCTAGAATGTGTGATGACCTGAAATATGTGATGGCCTAATACCTCACATCCTTAAGATAGTGTCTACTGTGAGAATTTACTTTCTGAATCAATTTTTTCTGCACCAAGGAGCACATAACATGTTGATTTATAACTAATTTAACTGTTGAGTTTTTGCCACTTTTCATATTAATGTCATAGCTAAAACTCCCTTTTATAACTAACTGTTGAGTTTCTGCCACTTTTCATGTTAATGTCATAGATAATACTCCCTTTTGTATGTTTATCTCTTATATTTGTTTTTAAACGTATCTCATTTCTCTAATTTTTGACTCTGTTAGTAGTTCTTCTTTTCCTCATTTGTTCATAAGGGCCCTTGTTCATGCTATTTAACAGATCGGGTGTATAGTTAAAAGTCATTCCCTTGTGGGATGCAATTTTTCGTTACTTTGAAGTCCCACCCTGGCTCGTGCCAGGGATTGCAATATACCCAGGCCATAAATATGGTCTAATGGCTGAACGGGGTTTCTGGGACCTTTCCACAGGTGATCCTCATCCACATGGTGGCACTTTGTGTCATTGGATGTTTATTGCTTGTGTGATGTCCTAGTGAGGTAAAATTTTCTACTCCTGTATAGTTCTAAACCCATATTTTGTAGACCATTTGGCCATTTAGACTGGGTTGACCCAGGAGTCAGGGTCTTTTTTTTTTAAGAAAGAAACAAGGTGGCAGATTTAAACCCATAGTCTTCGAGCCTGTAGCAAGCTTCTAGCCGTTACATTTTAGTTGTTCATAGCTTTTACATTTAATTGTGCATGATGTTTATTCTATTCACCTACAAATTCCTATTTTTAGTTGAATAATTTAACAAATGCCTACGTTTCTGATAATCAAGATGCTAGTCACTTATGAATGGTGTGTCTAGGAAAGGCTGTAGGAGTGACCAGAAGAGATAAAATCAGGAATGAGGTCATACAAGATAAAGCGGCACAGAATCAATTCTAAATTACATACAAAGACAGCAAGTCAAATGGTTTGCTCACTTGGAGAGAATGCTTTTTATACCATACAGTGCATATCAAAAGAGGAGAGTCACATAGAGCAAGGGGTAGACCAAGAACAATATGGGAAGATAACATCAGAGAAACTCTATAGCACCACAATGTGTCTATGGTCGAAGCAGCCAGAAGAGCCCGAAGCAGGACCTTATATCTCCCTCAACACTCGAAGCGGTAAAAGAGGACATGAAAATGAAGAAATCATTTAGAAACATTCCATAAGGTTGAATGGGGTATCCTGGATTTGTTCATGTTGGATTTACAGTTGGGTTGCTGCAGTATTTAACATTCAGATAACACTGCCATAAAAAAGGTTAGTTATTGATTCCACAATTTATAATAAATTGCCACAGAAAGTAAAAAACAGTAGTAAGAATGCTTGGACAACCAATCATCAGTCTGTGCCAATACTCTCAGGCACAATGACAGGTATAAGGGACCTTACTCTCAACTAAACAGAACTGTAATATTTAAGTTGTGTTGCAGGAATGAAAAAGCAAAAACTAATGGAAGTAGAAAATTCTATGTAACTATGAGAAAGACACACGCAGTTTTAATTGGGCATGTGCCAAGGAAAGAGGTTAAAAAAGGTAGTTGCGTATCCTATGCAGGACGTTGTAGAACCAACCCCAACATATTTTGGCTGTTGTGGTTTTTTCCTTGGCAAATGTTACGTTCAGTAAAAGAAAGAGGTACTGGAGAAAATTTTGGCGGCTGGAATAATCAGTGGTAGGAAAGGTAGGGAAAAGACAGATGGAGAGTGATAATTCTGGATAATCTGAGACAATATGTGACATGGAGGAGTAGTATCAACCCAGTAATCAACCATATGTGTAGAGATCAATTCCTTTCCATTTGACAAGGTACGTCTTCTTCTTCTCCTTTCACCAACCCCTCTCCTCCTCTTCTTTTTCCTGTTATTTTTCTTCCTCCTTTTCTTCTTCTTCACATTCAGTGGATGTAAACTCCAGTGGAAAATCCTAGCTGTTTATCCACTTCTGGACTTTTGTGTTCTTCCAGGACATCAGTTTGTATGCACATCCATTTTTACAAGCCTGGCTTTTTTGTGTGTGTGTGTGCAGACTGTTGGTTCCTCACCTCCCAGACATATATACTCTGACTTCAAATGAAACATTGATCCTCTCTGTGATGGTTAGGCTCCCGGCTGGAAAGCTATTCTAAAATGTCAGTGGAAAGAGGTAAATAGGTCTTGACCAGTCTAAGCCTAGGTCCTGATGCACCATATCTGCATCCGGACAAGGCAAATCATGATGATTAATATTATTGTAGACCCCGTGTGGGTTCCAGGGCTCCATTGGGGAGAAAATAAGAGTAGACCCACTGCCTTTCCAACAAGCATGTCATAAGAGTCAACTGATTGGTTGTTTCCTTTGAAGTTTGAGTGCATCTGCCTGAGAGGCAAGGAACCAACAGTCTGCATACAGTTGAGTCAGATCTGTAAAACAAATGTGCACCCAACACTTAGGTTCTGGAACAAGTCTAAAGTCCAGAGGTGTATGAACACTTAGAACTATCCGCCAGAGTTAGCAGCCAGTGAACGCAAAGAAAGAAGATTAGTGTAAACAGTTTGGCAAATGTGACGGTTGTCCTAGTCATGTTGACTGCTTTAACTTAACATTTGTTGGCATTTAATCTATTCAGCCATCAGGTGCAATTGTGCTGGGAACTATCAAAGGTGTGGACTGCATTTTTCTACCCAGGTATGCTCATTACTTACTTAACATCCTCTATAGCTTATCTTGTAATCTCCAGCATTTGAATAGCTTGTATGTATAATTATCTTTCTATCTTCATGACAAAGTGACTGACATGTACAGAAATAAGTGCTGTCATCAGCACAGAAAAGGCAGCTGTTTTATGGTGCACTCTGGACAAGTTGAACTGGATTGATTCAAGAACCAACATCACAGCATTTGGGAGATTCCCATAAGCACTTTTCCCCATCTTCAGCAGCCAGTGTAGAGTTCCGATACCAATGGTGCCGGTAGCAGTCTGATTGTATGGCAATCTTGTCTTTTCTAAGAGTGTCGAGTATCGGCCAGATCCTCTTATCACTCCCCGCTGCATCACTCTCACCAGACTGTGATGATCAATAGGCTGTTCCAGATTGTATATATGCTCCCGTAAGGCCTTAACCACATCTGCCTTATCATTCATCAGTATCCCACTTAGTCGTGCAGAGCCAGCCAGTCTGTCTGCCTGTTCCTTTTCCAACACACCGGCATGACATGAAAAAAAGATCCAGATAGTGCTCTTGACCCTTGACCTCCAAAGTGAAGCATGCCACTGCACGAAGCATGCCTTTCCTCAGATTCCTCAGCGTGCTTTTTCAGTCAGTTACGATTATGATACAGCTGTCTGAAGTGCTCTCTAGCCAGTGGCAAGCTGCGGTGACTGCCTCCACCTCCATTTTCATTCTGGATATGTTGGCATCAGATGCTAGGCTGTCCTGCACCAAATGTCGAATATTAGCTTTTGCCAAGAACCCCCAGGCACTTCTTTTGCCTCTTGACACAACCATCTTGATAAATAATCACATCACTTGAGCAAGCATAATCCAAAATTAATTGCTAAATGTCCACCTCCTGAATTCCCACAGACTTTTTCTGGACAATAGAATTGTTAGAGCTGACGTTCCAATCTCACAATAATTGAAACATCAAAAGAGGAAGCAAACTGAGGTACTTGTGTATCCCTTTAGATAGAAGCCTGTCCTTCAGGGATCATTATGAGGCAGTTGTGGCAAAATGCCAAATAGGACTCGATGAGCTTAAATAATGGCAGCAATGGATATGGAACAAAGAATCATGTTCACAATGTTTCAGCATTCGATCCTCTCGGTGATAGATTATAGACTTGAACTGCTTGCCGTATCAAAGAGTCAGCTGATAAAACTTAAACTCATACGGAAACCATGAAAGTAATTCAGGGATGTACAAGAGATTCCTCAGTAGTATGTGTGCGATATATACTTGCACTGCCAACTGTGACAGATAGGCTCAAAGTGCTGCAAGCCAGGTCATTCTCAGAGTAGCCGCAGACACGAAACACCTCCTGCATAAAGACTTTGACAGAGCTAAGGGTTACGACTGAAAAGAGGAAGATCTTGGATGGTGCAACCAAAAGACACAATTGAACTTGTGCAGCTTGATAACATTGGGCGAGGAAGGAGTGGGTTAGAGTGTCCCAGCAAAAGTCAGACCTCTGTGGGGTTTTGATCACATTGAACCAAGAGTACAGGGACTGGACAGTGGGCACTGCAGAATCAGAAGTTCATCAAATGAGTCATAGCAGTTTGTGCCCAAGTGATGTGATTAACTAAGCAGATGGCTCTGTGTTGAGAGACAGATGTTCATGGGGGTTCTTAGCAAAAGTGAATGGATGTTGCTTAGTGCAAAAAAGTCTGGCATATGACATCACAACATTTAGTTTAAGAATGGAGGTGGAGGCAGTCACTGCAGCCTTCCAATGGCTTGTGAACCAGCTGTACATGCATGTCATAATTGTAGTGACTCACAGAGCATGTTAAGAAAGGTGGAATCCAGTATGCTTTATGAAGAATTGCAAGCATCACTGCTGAGGTCCCAGGTAGTTAGTGTCTTTTGGATATTTTATCCAGGCAGATAGATTGGCTGGTCCTGCACAAACTGGTAGTGAATTAATGCATGACAAGGTAGAAGTTATGAGCTCTTTGAGTGAACAGTGCAGAAGGAGATTGGTGCTATGATGAATGACCAGGGGATCTGACTGATGATCAACACTCAGGGAAAGATGAGATAGATATACGATTAGACTGTTAGTGGTACCACTGGAATTGGAATTCTGCACTTGCTGCTGAAGATGGGGACAGTGCGCTTTTGGAAATGTCCCGAGTGCTGTGATGTTGATTTTGGATTTAACATTACACATTTCTATCTGTTATATGACTGACAGACTGATTTTTTTTCTACCTACCTATCTACTGCACAGTATATCTGTCTGTATGTCGACCTGTCTGTTATGTAAATGTTTATCTTTTTAATTTAGTCATCATGAGTGGTAGCTGACTGAGATTCATTTTCACAAAATGTCTGAAAAATGTTTATGTCACTCTATTAATTCAGTGCAGAGAATAAGTTCTTTATTTATTGTTTCTCTGTGAGCTCCGTAAAAGCAATGACCAGTTATGTAATTTTTAGTGTAATGTTTCTTTGTAAATTCAGTACAGGAAATGTTTGAATACTTTATTTGTGTCTGTTTAAAATATTTGTTATCCCTCAATAAATTTAATCAGGGAAATGGTTACATAGTAATTCATTCATTATCCTTTTGTGCTATTAAATGTCACATAGGGCTTGTAATCTATTCTTCTATTCCATTATGTCCCAATCTAGCAGCTTTGGCCTCTCTCATCAGTGTTTGTCTTGGGGTTTCTTCAGGGCGTCCTCGCCTCCTTAATCCCTGTATTTCCCATTTTAATTAAACAGTTGTATGAATACCTTATTTAAATTTGATGCATTTGTTCTAATAACATTCACTAGTACAGTTATGATGTCAGCTTTGCCTCATATAAATAGGCATCAGACAATTTCCATAATTTTCTAGAAATTACTGCGATGAAAAGGAGGGGAAGAAGGGAACACACACCTCATATATCTTGGCTTAGAATATGTGAAAAAAACACTTCACACGCCTCTGGCAGTATTTGCGATAGGACTAACGGTTTCTTTAATCTTTTCATTCAGACATGGAAGAGATCACAATATAGCAGCATCAAATGTGAATTACAGAGCAAATATCTGGGCTCTGAAAGAAGAAGGCTGCACTCACATTATTGCTACTACAGCTTGTCGATCCCTGCAAGGATATATCCACCCAGGGGAAATTGTTCTTATTGATGACTTTCTGGACAGGTAATCAGCTATGTGTATTATTTCATTATATTGCATAAAACATTGTGTTACAAATTGTACTTTTAAAGAAATTGTTTTTCTCTCTGGGGTTGCAGCCGGAACGATTGACGCCCAGCAGTGAATCCCAGACACCCTGTTTAACTATATAAAACATATTGGGACACCTTATTGTTACAGGGTAGCTTGCTGTCTTGTGGGTTAATTTTCATTGGTGTGTAGAAAAATGTTAATTTTGGGGGTCTACATGTTAAAGTTGTCAAGCTGTATGCTTTACATTCTGGCGGTCAAGGGTTTGTTTAACTCTTTCAGGGTTAAAAAAAATGTGGGAGTTTGAACAGCATTAATTTGTAGCTGAAAATTAAGGAGAAATGTTAGCTGAATACATCTAAACTATTTAAAGGTCAGTATTTGCAACAAGAAAATATTAAAATGATACCACATTTAAGAATATTAGACACACATGAAGACTTTTCTTTTACACATAAAGTTTTTTATTTACCAAGCTTTTTTCTTGATCGTAACACTAATATCAATTTCTAAAAATTCACATTACTTCTCTATTCAGTTATGCATCAGCTAGTCTTTATTTGAGACTATTAATTGAAATACTTTGTATTTTATTACAGTTTTCACAACAAATTCAAACAGGGATGATTAGATTGAAATATTTTGTTTAACTTCATCCCAACCCATATTGTCATCAGTAGGTGTCCCACTTGCATTATTAGTCATAATGTCAAGACTATTGTCACAATGTGGCTCAGTTTCATCAAAGACAGAAGCAGTACAAACAGTTCAAGAACTTTACCCTTGCCATTTGGTCTGGAAAATCACATAGAAATTGTATCGGACTGATTTCCTTTAAAATAAAGAAATTGTTACGCTAAGCTTTAAAAATGAAGACTTCATTTCGCTAATTTTGTTTTTCAAAACATGGTTATACAAATTAATTTTCCTATTAAATGCAACAATATTAAAGTGTCTGTGCATGGCGCCACTGGTGTGGTGATCTGTCTAAACATAATGCATTTAGTGATACATCCATAAAGAGTTAACTGACCCGTCAGTTTAAGGGATCATCACAGAAGCTATGGAGTTGCTGTTTTATGCAGTACTCTGGGCAGGTAACCCTTTTGCAGAGAGACCAGGCCCTGGTGATATTACCTGGTGCAATGAAGTCAATCTTCTTGACTGTATATTTTTAACTATACAGACAGTTTTGAGTTGTGTGCATTCGAGATGATTTGCTTCTAGTTAATGTTTCAAGGATGAATTTTGTTTAGTTCACGAATTTCATGTCAGAAAGAAGGGGGGAAAAAATCCATATTATTTGGATGTTGAAAAAAAAAAAAGTTAAGAACCCCTTTGTCATTGCCACATCACTATTTGGCACTTGATCTGAACATCAAAAAGATTGGCTAATAAACGGCATCTGGTCTCAGAAGCTTAATTATTTTGGCCGTATCAAGTGTCATTGCGGATTGGAAACATTAATATCAGATGACATGGTACTAGGGAAGTAGCAGTAGGAAGGACAGGGGCCGACCAAAATAAAGATGGGCACAGGATATAAGTGGCTCCTTCAATATTAAAGTGCACGAGGCGGGAGAGCTGGATAGAGACAGAGTTTTTTTTCTCTCCCAGGCAGACTGTGATGAGAGCGACTTTTGCAAAGGATTTGGCACTTGATGGGTGAGGTGCTGAATATCATGTCCACCGCCTTTACTTGCCAGGACTTTACCTTATACCCAGCTTAGATTGGCTGTGGGTCGCGGGTATTTCATGAGAAGGAGAGAAATTTAGTACATTATGGCAACATAAAAATGCTGAGGATCAGAGAAAGAACGAGAAAAAAGACAGTTGAGAAGGATACCTCTGATTAAATTGCTACTGCTCTTCTTACTGTCATTTAACCTTGCTTTCATTCTCATAGCTTTACATAAGCGTCACTGTAGATTTGACTTTTTTGTTTTTGTTTTTTAAAGCACCACAGCAAGACAGCAGTCATTTTATGATGGCACATCAAATGAATTCCAGGGGATCTGTCATGTGCCAATGAATGAGCCATTTTGCCCTCAGATGAGAGCGGTAAGGATGGGTAATTTTTTATGTTAAGAGTTACTTCTTCTCCCCACCCCCCCCCCCCCTTTTTCACCCCCAACATTTTCATACTTTAGCCATCACTGTTTCTGGTTCCTTTGTATTTAGGTAAAAAGTTAGTGGTCTTTTCTTTAACCACTGGTGTATTGAGCTAGATACATACTTTCAAATCACAATAGGCAGTCAGTGGATAATTGGATCAACATTGTGCCAACCTAGGACATTTCCTGATAAGCATTTTACCCTGGAACAGTCTGTGAGTCATGATAAGTTTAAAGGTTTACTTTAGTGCAGATTTGAGCCTAAGACCTCTTTCAAGCCAAGAAGCAAAGCATCTAGCTAATTTCTGAGTTATCAGTTGGGTTAATTTCATGGGGGTTATCTTCATGGCACTCCTCACACATCCATAGGTGCTCAGATCCCCCTTCAGCATAGTTGTCAGCATTCTGCAGTTAATATCTCTCTAAAGGCATTAACAGTGTCCCCTCCAAAATGGGGCTCTAGAACACACATAGGAACAGCATGGTCCAGTAATAGCGTCACCAAAAAAAAAAAAAAAAAACTACGATGATGACTGTCTCTTCTGAATATTTGTGATAAGTTGTCTTTGGCGGTCACGTTTCAGAGCATCTTGATTGCTCATTTTCGCTCTCCAAGAAATTTAAGGCACTCTTCTGTAAAATTACATTTCTGAGGCCCCAAGAAATGTCCAACATACAATGTCATCACTACTTACAGGGTACATTTTGCTGGCTGAATCTATGGATATGCAATACTAATATTTTCCTGTATACTGGTATTTACAGATTCTGTCATCCAGCATTAAGTCTTTAGGCTATCAGTTGCATGAAAGAGGAACAGTGATCACATTTGAAGGTCCCAGGGGATCAACATGGGCTGAGAGCAGGTTGTGGAGGGAGTGGCGGGCTGACATTATCAACATGAGCACCGTGCCTGAGGTTAGTCAGAGTTACTGCATTCATTCATTTTTTTAAAATTTATTTATTTAATTTTAAGTAATACTCAGAGACTTTAGTTGTGTCGTGTTTTCAATATTTGTCCCGAGTTTGCAGATTTTTATTGTCTTCCTAATTTATTATGTTTATTTTCTTGGTTTTCTTAAACCGTTCATAGGTATGACTATCATGAATGTCTGTGCACATGTTGGGTATTGCTGTGAATTCAGTTGTTTTCCTTGTATCTTCTTCTGGGCTGGGATGAAATAATTTTTTCCTTATCTGTCCAAGTCCAAAAAATGTGTCGGTTATAAATAGATCATGTTGTTTACACAGCTTTACTAATCTTATGCCATTTTCTGCCCCTCCTCCCCTTTTTCCACCACACTTTTTAGATCTCCAAATGTCCACAAGTAGTTTTCAACTCCTGTTCTGTCATATCATTGTTCTGCATTAAAATTAGTCTTTTTTTCAGTCAAAATGCTGTTTATGACATCACTTACTGTTCTGTAAAACTCCCCATTCATCTTCATATTCAGGGGTGTTAACTAGTGCGTAAATTGTTGTATGTATGTTATATTTTTTATTTATGTCATGATTTTTTTAATTTTTAATTTTAATTAAAATAATTCTTTTGATATGAACTTCATTTCAGTTGTTCTCTTTGCTTTGTCTGGTTCACTGATAAAACCTATGCTATGTTTTGCTCTTTCCTTCTTCCGGCTTCGAGGGTATCCTGAACATGTCCTATCTGCGGCCTTTCACCACGCATGGTCTTTCCATCGTGTCGCAGCTCTCGCTTCCAAGCTGAAACGTCACAACAGACCTATCCTCACACTTAACTACCACCCTGACTACATCCGTGCCAAATTATTTTCCTCATGCATCTCTCCATCCTTAAAGCCGACCCTGCCACCAGCACGATTTTCTCTGAACCTCTTCTAGTGGCCTACAAGCATGATTGTAACCCCAAAGACATTCTAGTCAAGAGTAGGTTAAGCCCCGCATCTGAGCCCCACTTCAGCATGGTCTCTTGCCACAGACCTGTATGCAGAACCTGTCCATATGTGGTCCAGGTGGCTAGTCTAGAATTCCCTGACGCCACCTTCCACACACGTGAAGCATTCTATTGTACCAGCCGCAATGTCATTTATGCCATCAACTGCAAGAGATGTGGCATGAAATACATTGTTGAAACAGGTCTACGGCTGGCCAACAGGTTCAGACAACATCTTTTGGATGTGCAAAATGGTGCTCTGAAACCAGTACCGATGCACTTCAATTCCCAGGATCACCAAGGTGTCCTCGACATGGAGGTGACAGCCATTAAATCCAGCCATTCCAGCGACAGAGTCTGCAAGTCTCTTGAGAATCGCTTTATTTATACTATGGGGACTTTAACACCCTCCGGACTGAATTGCCAACACAGTTTAATTTAAACTCCCAGGGTATTTAACTGCCCTCACAGTTTTATCTCCAACATCTTCCCCCCCCCCCCCCCCCCCAGTTATGGCCCCTGGTACTCCACAGGGGGTATTTATCCCCCCAGCCGACATGTTTAGTCATTTTGCTGAGAAACAACCGACCCGGCTGCTTCGAGGTACCAGCTAAGTGATTTTGTGTATTTGTGTAGTATTGTTTCATTTGTATGTGCTGATGAAGGCTCAGTAACTGCAACGTTCACGTTTTCTTTGTTTTTGTTATATTGTGAAGCTTGCTAATATACTTTTCGTTCGATTTTATATCTTTTTTTGAGTAATTACTGTGTATTCATCTACATCCTTTCTCTTTGATTCACATGTCTGCTATATCTAATAGTTTTCTTTTCATTTTCTTCATCTCCTCTACTAGTCTTTTTGTTTATTGGCTGTGTGACAAATATTAATCGTGCAGATTTTAATCGCTATTATGTCTCTTAGTCCATTAGTGTTCACTGGTCATTTTCCATAAATCTCAGTCCACTTTTATCTTCTTATTGTTTATTCGAGCAAGATTTAATCCATTGCTGGCTTGCTAGGCCTGTCACAGTTCAACAGAATGTTTAACCGGATGCATCTCATCTGGCGAGCCAGAGCCCCATTAGCCTTCAGCCTCACTGCTTTAGTTTACCAATGTGCACCATTTGGAGGTTGGATTGACTAGGATGTCTTAATTGGCAAGCTTTTAATTGTCACTTTTCACACTTTAGATTAAGAGTTAGCCAACCCCGACAGTGCTGGCGTGCAGTGCCAGGCACGTGGAAATATCCCATGCACACCATTTTTCACAAATTCCCCATTAATTAATTGACTCTTTTCATGCAGTTTCCACATCAAGCAAATACTGCTGGACCTGGATTGTAATTTATAGATCAGTTATCACTTGATGGCTGATGTGGACTTCTCGGGTCATTTGTTGGCGCTCTTTTTTTAGGCTAGGTAGACCTGGAAGTCTAACGGTCAATTATGAACATAAACATACTTGACTTATGTTAATTAGCTTTAATCTGTGGTTGTGACAGGTTGTGTTAGCCAAAGAAGTAGGTCTGCTGTATGCCTCCCTGGGTCTTGTCACAGAGTACGACACATGGAGAGATGACTATGAAGCTGTAAGTTGAAAAGTCAGACTTGTTTCATTAGAATGTACAATAAACTTAGGTTATATTGAACTGTTGTTACCCCTTGTTTGACAAAACTGTACCAGTAACTCATTATATATTGGAACAGTTACACTTTGTTTGACTAAACTAAACGTAACTCATTTTATTTTGAAAGGGGGCTGCGTTTTCTCAAGGCATGGCATCCGCCCCAAATGCTGGAGTCCCGGGTTCAAGCCCCGGTGAAGGCTGGAATTTTTCACGTAGACTTTCAGTAATTTCCCCTGGTCTCTGGGTAGTGAGACTGGGCCCCGCTGTGTATTGTTGCGCACCTAAAAAATCCCTTGGCAGCTAAAAGTCTAAAAGAGTAGCCTGACGGTGCTGCCTGAACTAAATTTGAAGTTAAAAATCTACCCAAAGTATTTTAGGATCCTCGCTGGTGCAACAGAGTTCTTGCACTGCACTGAGCTGCTTCAAACTCAGGCTTGAGTTAGAAGTAGAACAGAGCACTTATGGGTTACACCCATGTGCCATGATGTTGATCTGTTCAGTAAACCAATATATTTTAAACAGTGGCAGTTTGTTTGACTTAACTATACCAGTAACTCATAACATATTGGAACAGTTACACTTTGTTTGACTAAACTGTACCAGTAACTCATTACATATTGGAACAGTTACACTTTGTTTGACTAAACTGTACCAGTAACTCATTACATATTGGAACAGTTACACTTTGTTTGACTGAACTGTACCAGTAACTCATTACATATTGGAACAGTTACACTTTGTTTGACTAAACTGTACCAGTAACTCATTACACATTGGAACAGTTACACTTTGACTTAGGCATTCCAAGAGTAGAGAAAAGAAGAAAATAAGGTTTTCTGTGACTCCTTTCTTTTTAACCTTCCTTTTGTCAAGAGCCTGTCCTCTGGTAAGAGGTGAAAGATAAAAGTCAGTGACAACAAAACTTACATAAGGTGTTAGGTTTTGTGGTTGTAGGTACATTGTATTTTCTTGTATACTTTTGATATAGATCTGATAGATTTATTGATTCCAACAGATTCAGACTGAATTGGGCCTACAGACATTTGAAGATGTTACTGAGAAAGCTAGTAAAGTTATCTCAAATGCTGTTCCCAAATTTGCAGAGAAAGACTGGAACAAGGAAATAGACAAAAGTAAAGTAAGTAACTGAATACTTGTTTCTTATATTTATTTAAAGTTAGCAGCATCTGTATAAATAAGTTTGTCATATTTTCATAAACTTGTAAGAAAAATGAAATATAAGGCATTTTTTATAGTTCAGGTGTGAGGTGTGAGACCCATGTTTGTATGGGCCAATCAGCAATTATATTGTGTGTGGTCAGTATCACATCAGCGACTTTACTTCCTGTAGGATTTCCTTGTACCCGTTTAAGGCCGAGTTGACTTGAGAGCCATAATCAGTTGTTTTTTTCAACGCTTCTTCATGCAGATTCAGAACCAAGAACTTTGGGTTGGATGGCAGGTGTCCAACCATTGAACCGTTATCTGTCTTCAGGAATTTGAATAATTTGAACCAAAAAAAAAATAAGGAAGAATTTGAGGATGCAAATACTATTTTTATTAGTTGACAGGAAAGCCTTAAAAACTATTGATGACCCAGATGCTAAAGAAATGTCAATTGATTGTTGTGCAGTTTGAACAGTTTCACTCATTATACAAAGATCTTTAACTTCAAAAGATTGACAAAACATATCTATACTATCTTCGAGGTCAAGACAGGAGACACTATAACCAACTACTCATGGGAACAATCAGTAGATGTACCTAGGAGTGGCTGCTGCATCGGAGGTCTGAGCACACATGGGAATGCCCTAATATGCAATTACATTAACTGCGATGACATATTCATTGAGTGAAAATTGATCCGTAAAAGTATAGGGCAAGCACTAAATGCTACTGTAAGACAGAGAAGATGATGATATATTAGGCACCTCCTTGGCACAAGAAACAAGCAGAAAATCACCAGACAGAAACTGAAATGGGAAGTAAGAGGGATTGAGGAAACAAGGATGTCCAAGAGAAATCTTAAAGCGAATTTGATAAGTGAAGCCAAAGGTGTTGGACTTGATTTCATCTGTAATGAAACAGATTAGAACGGAATGGAGGAATAGACTGTGAGCCTTAGAAAAAATGGACGACTAGAACGGAATGGAGGAATAGACTGTGAGCCTTAGAAAAACATGGACGACGGAGAACGATACAATGTGGTGTCACTCTTTATTTGTTCACTCGTTGTTACTTCAGCCAGTACATGTTAGGGTACAACACAGTCACTCATATCTATCCTAACTCACCGAAAGTATCAACTTTACCTTAAGCTGAAACGTTTCCATCACCACAGCAATTGAAAGATGACTATTTTCCATCCGAACAAAACACACACAATCAGCTGGCTGCGGGGTTTCCGTCAGTCGTTGCTGTTTGGCCAAGTAGGCGTTGGGAAAAACTCTGCAGACATATCAGACTCAACACTTTCTGGATCCAACAGACACTCCTCCATACTTCATGTATTCATTTTCTAGGTCTAAACGAGACTGCCTACATGCTCTAAGGCATTATATAACCTTCTAACGCCCACATTACAATAACGACTTCTCCGTGACCTCAGAGTCACACGGGTTCCATTTGGCCAACATTTTCTCCATGATTCGCATGAGTTTCATTTGGCCAGCATTTTCTCTGTGATTCACGACTCTGCCCTTCTTACATGTAAATATCTCATTCATATTTATTAGCTGACGTCATTCCGTGTGGGACATAATTTATCAAGGAGAAAATGGGTTCACTACAGTGACATATAATGACCAGGGTTTGTAGCCGACCTGGAAGCTTAAATTTAACCTGGAGATTGCGGCCCTGACCTTGAACCTTGTTTTTCACCTGGGAAAAGACATACTGACCTTGAAAAAGCCTGGAATTTTGACCGACGCAATGGGATCATTGGAAGACCTGCAATTTTCCGTAGTTTGGCTAGTTTTGGCTACCTTCATTTTAAACATTAATGCTCGTAGTTAAGCAGGCAACCGATCAATGGTCCCTTCATTGTTCTCATTATTTGCTTTGCGCTGTGTGCTGAAATGGGCAGTTAAGGGTGAGGGAAGGGTGAGCTGTGTTTCAGCTCGTGGATACTGCAGACAGCTGTGTTGGAGCTGGTGGATACTGCAGACAGCCACGGCATGGGAGAGAGCTGTCGCCTGGCTTGGGATTTTTTCTGGCAGGATTACAATTGGAGTGATAGGTTCCCCCCAAGATCTGGTTTTTTTTTTTATTAGTAGCTGTAGTTTCTTTATATCTTCAGATTTTGTCAGCCACATCTTGGGTTTTAACAAAGGTTCCATTGGCAGCCCTGATTGGGAGAATGTGGGACCAGGCAAAGTGATGTCAGTTGGATTTCCCAGTTCTGTTTTTGGCACGGACTATCTTTGCAATACATTTGGCAATCAACATTACAACTGTCCTCCCCCACTCTCTGTATCATATGACTGGTTGTTCTCTTGGAATTTTTTTTTTTAATTATCTCAATTTCATTTTGATGAGTTGTTTGTTAGCGCCCCTTTCTTTTTTAGTTTAAACTCTACCTCAGCATCTCTCTCTCTCTCTCTCTCTCTCTCTCTCTCTCTCTCTCTCTCTCTCTCTCTCTCTCTCTCTCTCTCTCTCTCTCTCTCTCTCTCTCTCTCTCTCTCTCTCTCTCTCTCTCTCTCTCTCTCTCTCTCTCTCTCTCTCTCTCTGTGTGCTTCAGGTACCAGGTCTAGAACAGACAGGACAGCAATCAGTTTGCTTCCCTCTGCCACCAAGTCTAAAAAAATAAAATGTAAAAACACTATATCTGTGCTGTATTCCCGACATGTGGCGCACAAATAAAGTACTGTGTCTGCTCGGTAAACCCTTGAGCAAAGACCTGCCTCAATATTGCTCCAAGACAGCCTTGAAAAAAAAAACTAAGATACCTTGGAAAGCCTTGAAATTGATTGGTAAATTTGGTTATGAACCCTGACTGACACAGTAAGACAATAAATAAACTGTATGCCCAATACAACTTGAGGCATGATAATGGGTTCTGCCGGTTTTTTAATTCTAAAGTTACAATGTAATGATATACTTCATAACTTACTTTTTTTTTTCTCCAGGAGATTGCTAGCTGCTCAGTAATGAAATAAAGCTGAAACAAGTACTTGATTTGTCCTGAGGCAGAAATGGAAGCTTGATTCATTTATAATGTGATGATCAGGAAAGATAATGGGAAAAGTCAGATTATAGAAATGACTACCTTGCACAAAAGAAACATGGAACCTCAGTGTTACTTTCATTTAGAAATTTAAAAGTATTGATTGGTGTTCATAAAAGCAGAAGAAAGAAATGAAAATAGGAATACATAAAGAATGTTATAATGACAGTACCTCAATGTGAACCTACCACCTTAAAAATAATGACAGTGTCTTGCTGCTGGAACAATTGTACCTCAATGTGAACCTACCACCTTAAAAATAATGACAGTGTCTTGCTGCTGGAACAATTGTACCTCAATGTGAACCTACCACCTTAAAAATAATGACAGTGTCTTGCTGCTGGAACAATTGTACCTCAATGTGAACCTACCACCTTAAAAATAATGACAGTGTCTTGCTGCTGGAACAATTGTACCTCAATGTGAACCTACCACCTTAAAAATAATGACAGTGTCTTGCTGCTGGAACAATTGTACCTCAATGTGAACCTACCACCTTAAAAATAATGACAGTGTCTTTGCTGCTGGAACAATTGTACCTCAATGTGAACCTACCACCTTAAAAATAATGACAGTGTCTTGCTGCTGGAACAATTGTACCTCAATGTGAACCTACCACCTTAAAAATAATGACAGTGTCTTGCTGCTGGAACAATTGTACCTCAATGTGAAAAACCTACCACCTTAAAAATAATGACAGTGTCTTGCTGCTGGAACAATTGTACCTCAATGTGAACCTACCACCTTTAAAAATAATGACAGTGTCTTGCTGCTGGAACAATTGTACCTCAATGTGAACCTACCACCTTAAAAATAATGACAGTGTCTTGCTGCTGGAACAATTGTAACCTCAATGTGAACCTACCACCTTAAAAATAATGACAGTGTCTTGCTGCTGGAACAATTGTACCTCAATGTGAACCTACCACCTTAAAAATAATGACAGTGTCTTGCTGCTGGAACAATTGTACCTCAATGTGAACCTACCACCTTAAAAATAATGACAGTGTCTTGCTGCTGGAACAATTGTACCTCAATGTGAACCTACCACCTTAAAAATAATGACAGTGTCTTGCTGCTGGAACAATTGTACCTCAATGTGAACCTACCACCTTAAAAATAATGACAGTGTCTTGCTGCTGGAACAAATTGTACCTCAATGTGAACCTACCACCTTAAAAATAATGACAGTGTCTTGCTGCTGGAACAATTGTACCTCAATGTGAACCTACCACCTTAAAAATAATGACAGTGTCTTGCTGCTGGAACAATTGTACTTCAATGCACAGCCAGTTAGATGACCCTAAAATTGTTTTCTTTAGCCCTATCTCTCATTCACATAAGCGAACAAATATGAAATAAGAGATGGAATTTATATCTAACCATTAAAATAGCCAGGAGCTGAGTTAGCGCAGTGGCTAGACTCTTGCCAGCCAGCCCAATGGTTTTGGGTCGTCTGAATTCAGACCGATTCTTTTATACTTGACCTTGTCTTTTAGGTCAAGCCATCCTAAAATGGGTACTTTAAAATGTGCGAAGTAAAGGCAGACAGTGTGGCAATGACCACATGACCTGATAAGTGCCAATTGGTCTATAGCAAAATATTATGGTTTAGCATCAATTTCCCACTAGGCCACTTTTATGAAAGAGTCCTCTACTTTACCTTGCATTTAAATTGCACAATAGAAATGTCTGTTAACCGAGCAGTGGTCAAACAGTGAACCCGTCAGGTTATAGTTCTGTGACTAAATTACAGCCATGACTGCCTGTTTTTACCACTATTTTGGTATAGACCAGTGCTTCCCAAACTTGTCTTAGTCGCTGCACCTTTTTTCAATTAAAATTTGTCCACGGCGCCCTAATCTAAGTCAAAGTATGACTATTCGTATGTAAGAGGTGAAAACAAATGAAACCTGTGTATTTTTGAATATTTTGCGGTGCCCCTGTGAAGAGGTCGCGACTCTCTGGGGCACCGCGGCGCACAGTTTGGGAATCACTGGTGTAGACAAAGGAAAGGGAGGGAGGGGGGGGGGGGGGGGTCTCTAAGCCTGAGGATTTAGGGCCACATGGCAAGTGCAGTTGCTATGGACTATGCAGGTTATGATTTTTTTTTTTTTTGGGCCTCTGACAGAAAAGGCCATAACCTTATTAAGGGTTAGAACCAGGATCTCTCAGATGAGAGACCAGTATTCTTTACCATTCAGCCAGCAGCTCTTGACTCTAATATAGAATAAACATTTATGAGAGTTGATCAGTGCTAATAAACAGCATCTTTTCTTGAAACTGAAGTATTTTGGTCATATTGAGCACCATGATGGATTGGAAAAAATAATGGCAGAATGCATGGTACCAGGAAGTAGTGGCAGGGTCCGACCAACACAAAGATGGGCTCCTTGAATGTGAAAGTACACGAGGCAGGAGTGCTGGCGAGAGACCGTGTTTCTTACAGGCAGATCATGATGAGAGCGACGCTCTGCAGCGGACCCGCTATATGATGATGATGATATTTAGATCTTCTTTATTCGGTTGTGTAAGTTCAGTTGCATGACAGAGACCCAAAGCATTTATTGGCTGTTGTGTGATTTTACTAGCCAATTTACATTCAGTAGTTTATCATTAAAATATTGACATCCATAAAGATGATGTGTTTGTCATTGCTTTATTTACAGTGTGATGCTCATTCTATTCACAAAAGTAGCACATACTTAACATTCTATGAAATCACCTGCAGCTGACTTTAAATGTTTATTTAAAGATGTCCTGAAACGTTTTTTCATGATTTAATGAGATGAAGCCATAAAAAATAAATATTTAAGATTTATGCTTGTGTACAGGGATTTAGTTTGTTTCTAGAAAAATGGATGAGGTGCCGGTACTCACCACAAAAGCACTTTAAACTAAAAATACATAAAAATAGTATCTGGTACTACTGACCATTGTGTACCACTAGAAACAAAGCCTCTGTTATGTAAAGCTTTAAGCAAACATAGTTATTAAAAAAAGAGGTCAGAAACAGTATATAGCAGAGTTAATTATCAGACATATTTTGCTGTAAGACTTCAGGTGGGTGCATTGACTGCAGGGTTTACAGCAGCATATAGTGAAGTACATTGTGTGTGTCCCATTATTTAAAATCACAACAGGAAAACGTGATGTTCTGTTCTTTTGCAAAATATTTACATCACTGCATATTTAGTTAGTTGGGTTATCATCATTGCACACCGGGCAAGTCCATAGGTGTTCAGATCCTCCCTTCAGTATGAACCCCAGTGGCTAATGGTACCAGTTCTGTGTTGATTAACAAGTCTTCTGATGTACCTGGTGTGCCTCTAATTTTTTGCTATGCTAATCTTAACTTGCAAGTCGGACATTCTGGTGAGTGATGTGGATGCACTGCCCCCAAAGTCCTCTACCCTTTCCAGTTCTCGGATGGTATTATTAATATCAGCATGATCCATAGGTTCACCCTTGGTAGTGATAGCGGATCCAGTCAGCCAATCAGCTCGTTCATTTCCATCGAACCCTGCATGTCCCGCAACAAAAATAAAGGTGACTCCACGCACAATGGACTTCATGTTTAAGACTGAATCTTCTATTTTGTAAAGATGGCCAGCTTGGTCTACAAATATGTTCCTAGTATTATATGCCTGAAGCGCCACTGGTGTCAAACGTGTCTTTAGCTATGACTTGTTTTTTTTTTGTTTTTTTTCACATTCTTTGTTGGCCGATACTGCAAAACCCTCACAGTCTAGCAGTTTCAGAAAATAACTCTTTAAAAATGTGCACATTTCTGTGAGCACTAAATTATATATTTTTTTCTTTGAAAGTGAATTTACTGTTGTTAAAGCATTTGGTTCAATTATTTCATCTCTTTTCCCTATGCCGGTTCTAGGACCCTTAGGGGGGGGGGGGGGGGGGGGGCACCCACTGCCGTTAACAAGCATGTCATTAAAAAGTGACTAATGAAAACTTTGCTGATACTTGCTGTTTTTGGTTGAAAGACGCAGATTTGATTTGATTTTCTTCTTCTTCTTCACGTTCACCAGCTGTACACTCTGGCGGAAAGTTCTGGTTGTTCATCCACTACTGAACTGCAGTCCTGCTCCAGAACCTGAGTGTTGCGTGTGCATCAGTTTTACAGATCTTATTCTCTTGAATACAGACTGTTGGTTCCTTGCCTCTCCGGCAGATGCCCTCCCGACTTCAAAGGAAGCTCCCCAATTAGTCGACTCTTACGACATGCTTTTGGGGAGGCAGTGGGTCTATTCTTGTTTTTCCCATCAATGGGGCCCCGGAACCCACACGGGGGTGATTTGATTTGATTTGATTCAAGAACCGAAATCACAGCATTCAGGGCATTCCCATAAGTGCTTTGTCCCCATCTTCAGCAGCCAGCCAAGAGTTCCGATACTAATGGTGCCAGTAGCTTTCTGATTAAACGTCCGTCTTGCCTTTCCTCTGAGCCTCGAGCTTCTGCCAGAACCTCTCGTCACCCCTTAACTGCATCAATCTCACCAGACTGTGGTGATCCATCTGCTACTCTGAATTGTACACGCTCTCCCACAAAGCACTAACAACGTATGCCCTATCATGTAGCAGTATTTCACCAAGTTGTGCAGAGCCAGCCAGTCTGTCTGCCTGTTCATATCCCAATACACCAGCGTGACCCGGTGAAAAAATCCAGACAATACTCCTCACTCGTGTCCTCCGCAGCGAAGCGTGCCACTCTGCACGAAGCATACATGTTCTGATCTTCCTCAGCATGCTTTCTGAATCAGTTACAATCACGATGTGTGTGTTTGTCGTGTTCTCTAGCCAGCGGAAAGCTGCAGTGACCGCCTCCACCTCCATTCTTAAGCTGGATGTTGTATCATATGCTAGGCTCTCCTGCACCAAACGTCGACCATTAACTTTTGCTAAAAAGCCCCAAGC